TTACCACAAGGCAGAATGCCCTTACCCAGCGATGGGAAGCTTTACCCATCGATGGGAACCCAGCGATGGGAAGGCTTAACCATCGATGGGAAGGCATGACCGTTGGGAGTCATTTAAGGCTGATTCTTTCCTTATTTGAAAGTCAACCTCCCACCCAGCGATGGGAAGCATTTACCCATCGATGGGTAGGTAACCGTTGACTTCAAATCTGAAGGAAATTTGGCTTACCAGCGATGGGTAAGTCCCAAACATCGATGGGAAGCCAATATTCTGCAGATCCCAAATCTTTTCAATCCCATAAATCAAGCCAATCACCCCTTTACTGCATTGGTCCGTTGGAGCCTATTTTGGCACTATAAAAAGGGGTGTTTGGGTCTGCTTTACATACCAATTCACTTCACAATATTCATATTATCATTGCATTCAAACAACATCATTTTTCATAGCTTTCTAGAGCCAATTTGTGAAGTTTGAGTTGTTCTTGAGCATATATAGTTTACTCAATATCTACTCTTAAGGAGATTCTTGTTCTAGAGTGTCTTAGTGTTGTATACACGCTAAGGGAAGCTTGTTTCCCTTGGTTGTACGAAGGAAAGGTATTTTCCTTCGGGTTGAAGTCTTGGAGTGCGGTATCTCCGAGCAAGGTTGTTGAGGCTCGTGGGACTCGAGTTCTCAGGTTGTAACGGTTTGTTAAGCACTCGTAAGCTTAACGGAAGTAGTGTAGCTCGAGAGAGTCTCTCGGGAGACTGGATTAGCCACACGTTGTGGTGAACCAGTATAAATCTTGGTGTGCTCCCTTTACGCTTTCTACGCTCTTTACTTTTCACGTTCTTAATTTTTTATTTCTGCGATTTCTACGATCAAACGCTATTCACCCCCCCTCTAGCGTTGGTCACTCATTCTAACAAGCTACATTGCTGTCCATGAAATTATGTGTACTCCCGGAGTCAATCAAGAGTTGTAAAGCTTTCTTGCCCACAAACCCAGTGACTCTCATTGTCTGGTATCCATTGCCCCCATATATAGCATGAAATGAAATGGAGGGGTCATTATCAACCCTCGCTTCCACCTCAGCCAATTCAAATTGCTCAGCTTCTTCCTCTCCCAGCACTTCTACCAGAAATAGTTGAGTCTCCCTGTTCTCACACTTGTGTCCCTTCTCAAATGGTTTATCGCAATAATAGCATAGCCCTTTTGCTATTTTCTCAGCCCTGACAGATGCAGGGATGAACTTGGGATTTCTCTGCGTGAAGGCTGGTTTATTGGCTGAGCTAGGCGTGTTGTAACTGCCTTGAGGTCTGAATGCACCCTGATAGCCTGTTGGAGTGCTGGATTTGGCAGATGATTCAGGCTTAGCTAGTAAAGGTGTATTATTCCTTCCCATGTTAGATTGAAGTTGTGAGTGCTTGTTGGATTTATCTTGAGTTCTCCAGGCCTCCACAGTTTGCTCTTGCAACCTTGCATAACTAATGGCCTTAGTTACTGATGTTGGAGCAAAAGCCTTCACAAAAGGCTTAATTTGTGGCTTTAGTCCTGCAATAAAGCTATCCAAGAAATACTCCTGAGGCATGTTAGGCCTCTTCCTTAACAACAGCCCTTTAAGTTCTTCAAACTTATCCACATATTCTTCTAAGTCTCCTGTTTGACAGAGTTTATTGAATTCTTCTACTATATCATTGTGATCATCTTCCTTGAATCTGGCCCCCAAATCCATGACAAACTCATCCCAACAAATGTTATTTCTCCCTTGA